AATCATTACATTTATTTTCTAATAATTAGAATATGATATGCAGTAGATATCACATTATCTTACTTGTCGATGAATTCAGTCAAGCTATTAAATTTGGCGCATGTGTCAAGCGCTAAAATATAGCTTACACTCGGAATAGACATCATGATTTTAAATAACTGTTACGATAAGGCAGATTAAGTCAAAACATTGTTACCCTGAATGATAAAAGTAAGGACCTGATTTACCTGCTCTTTTTCTCTGACTGGTTTCAGCGGAAAATCTATTTTGTAATTTTTCTTGCACTCAATAGCAGCAAGCTGGACCAATAAATTAGCAGTGTGTTCTGTACAGGGTATATTTAGGTGTAATCTGGTTAGTAAAATCAATATTTCCATCCGCAAATAAACAGCTAAAGCCTACCTTGGGATTCACTAAATAACAATTTCACGCGAGATAATGCAAGTGATGTGTACGTGATACATAAATATTTTGTAATAAACCTGCGATATGAAGTTTTACATTAGCAAAATTCCGTAATGAATAAGGCTAATACTAGATTCATCTGGTAAATCTTTCTTAATACTTACTGTGTGTTGGTTTTCGAATCATCTACATTTTTACTTCTATCTTTTTCAATAATCAAGCATGATCTATCGTATAGTCCACACATATGCCTGATTCTATCTACAAATTTATCGTTACTACCACCTACTAAAGCTGTAATAAGAAAGGAGCTTTAGTATCATTAAATATTGATGTAGGATGTAGCATTTGAATAGGTTCATGTTTACATGATAGCAGCTGTCGTTCAACCCCCATTCTGGTGCTTAAAACGTACGAACAGCATTTTAAACTGCAAACTTCTGTTTTAACACGGTGCTTGAAACGCAATTCAGTGATAGTCTGTTAAATACATAATAATTTTTTAGCATACCATTTACCGTAAACATCAAAAACCAAGTTTTATGACATAAGTACTAAAAGTAAAGCTTTACAACTACCTACAAAAATAATCAAAGAAAATAGCTAATGGAATATACCTGACTATTACTCGAAAGCTCTCGCGTATCAACTAAAATGGATAATTCGTTGTTTGATTTCTGTTCATCAATAGGTAAGAATTAGTTTTGCACTGATTATGCTAAATTTAAAAGTTAATTAGCTTATAAAAGAATAGTGCACTTAAAATGACTCGTATAATTATTAACCTTCGTATCGGAAGAAAGAGAATAAAGTGAATTTGGCGCTTCAAAGTTTTTAACACTAGGCTCTTGTTTAGGCTTTACACTTATCGAAATTTTATTGTTATTGTCCATCTTATGAGACTGATCACCAATCGTCACCTTTGTGAATTCTCTCTTGTTACTGAAAGGTTTCGTATTATCTGTTAAGGGTATATCGATTCCAAGGCTGAAGTCAGGAACAGCTCTATAAAAATTTGTTATTAGTAAACAAGAATAGATTAAGAATATACGAATAATATGTATTACATAACTAGTAAAGCCGACAAATAAATCTACTTTAACTCTTTCGATTTTATAAAACGTTACAGCAATCCCATGAAATTTGCATACGTACTCATTGACAATTTCCTCATCTAACGGAACCGTAACTAGAGACTTAGATTGATCGGTTATTTCGATTACATTCGTCGGTGCAACATTATTAGAATCAACCATAGCTAAAACATCATCATCATCTATCCAATCATTTAATTCTAAATTAAAATTTCCAATTTCTTGTTCCTGATATAAATAAGAATAGTTAAAATAAAATAAATTATAATTCAATTAGCGCTTTATTATCATGAAGCTGCACACGCTCGCATAAATTCAATAATGCAAAGAGAATACAATCATCATAATAATAGTTTATTTCTTTCACATAAATCGTGGTTGCAGCAACTTACTTCATTGGTGACGGGTAATACAGGACACTCATCGATATAATTGAACTTCATTTTATTCAAATATTCATCACAATTCAAGGACGATGTAGTACATTCCTCAACTTTGTCTGACTTCAAATTGCGCAAATATTCACTGTCTTTTGTAGCTGATGTCGCACATCCTTTATCTTCATCTACATTAAATTTGCTTACTGTAGGAGCCAAAGCGTCCACAGTTTCTTCAACACTATTCCATGAGTCGTCTAGAACGGATTTTCGCTTTCTACGCTTACTAATACCTATGCAAATTCCGTTATTGACATCACTTTGTACAGATTCTTTCGAGGCATTGTGACCATCGACTGATCTAGGAATATTAGTTTCCGGTGATATATCAACATTTCCTGAGTTGTCCATTATTATGGATTCGTCTTCGAGGTTACTAAGATTCCTACTTTTACGTTTTCTACTACATTTAGCTATTAATTTACTTTCTAAATCATCTAATACATTTTCTGCTTGAGTTAAGTATTCGATAGCATCATCTTCGTTTTCAACACAAAAGCTATTATATTCATAGTCTGATGAACAATCCGATCCTGTCTTTGGATCACCATCATTTCGATCATAAAGGTACTTTTTAACTTTCGTAGGGGTTGGCAATGGGTTATTTTCCTTATTTAGTACAGATCTTAGTCGATGAGATGCCTGAAATTTTAGTTTACTTGATTTTCTACAATTGATGTTTGGACTGAATAGCGATTGCTGATAGACAGCTAGCATACTCCCAGGAGAGGTATCAGCTTGCTAAATAAACAAACATTATCAGCATGTTTATTACTTATGTAAATTTTCGTAATAGTATTGCAAGGATTACATATTACCTTGTCACAGTAAGGCGTTGGTTGACTATTATCATTAATAAAACTATCGTTTATAGCGCCTGAAAATTCATATTCATATTCATCTGAATCAAATTGACTAATATGTTGAGATGAAACTTCAGCTTCATCGTCAATAAAATTCTTTGCCATATCTTTCTTTTGATTTCGATTTGCCTATATTTATCGAAGCATAATAAGAATTTTAATTTTATGGGTAAGTATGTAGATAGCTGAAGATTCAGAGGAGACAACTTATTGTTCCATTTCAACTTTCTAACTTACAGAGCTTGTCGTCTGAGTTTTTGATTGGTTGCGATCTAAGACACCATTTGAGGATCCATCCTTAAATAGCGTTCTTTTTCTTTGATTACGAGTTACGAATGTTGCCTTATTATCTGCCGCACAGCGATTATTATTGCTAACTTTTACGTTAAATGGAGTTGAATTTAATTTCTGTGACCCTTTAATTGTATTAGAATCAGGATGATCGTGCATTGTACCCTTGCCTTCATTAATCTGTAAAATCAAGTAAAAAAAAACAGTGATTTAGTAATCTAAAAGCATTTCAATATGAATAATATATTAAAGAAATAATATTACCGGAGTTCGATCAGGTTTGCATAATTGAGGTGTGACAGCGCTCAGAATTTCTATATCATCATCCTGAAAACTACCTAATATCGACTCGTATGGTGTTTTACTATTATCCATATGACCACTATTGCGAGCATGTGTAGAATTTAACTTCATTCTTGATTTAGTCATTTCATCACTTTTGGAAGGACTCTGTTGGCGTTGTACTATACTTGAAATAGATTCGACAATAGGACTAACTTGTCCCTTCTTACTTCCCTTCGTTATTGGTTGGTATGAGTGATTAGATTGGACATTACGATCTTTAGCATTAATATCACTTTCAGTAGCACACAATAATAGGCTATCGTCGATATCATCATCGAATAGATTGATACTAGATTCGTTATCACTCTTACTTGCGCCAACTTGCTTAATTTTCTGATGCAACGATGTTGTATCGCCTTGATTCCCTGATTCATGTAAAGCTGTTAACTTATCTTCAACTTCTTTTGTCCTAATGCTGTTAAAACAATCTATTTGGTCATCGCCAATTTTATTTAGCAGTTCGTAATTTACTGGAGGTGGTGGACAAATAACGACATTATCGTCACTTATGCGTTCCTTGACATCAGGCCATTCTTGTTTTTTGGATATAAATTCAACTTCTGGCAATGATGACATCAATTCATCACTGACATCGTCATCAAAACCTGGTGGATTATTTTTGGTTTGCAGTTCCTTGAATGGATTGTCATCAATATTCATATAATTATTACCACCGTTTACTGGGATCTTATTACAATCAGTTACAGCTGCCGATAAATTGTTATACCACTGACTTAAAATCTTCGAAGTATTTCTCATATCTTTAAAATTTCTTACTTCATCAGGAAGATCATTACTAGCCAAATCTGATAAAATCTCATTCTGTTCAACATTTCTTTCATGAGTATCGTTATTTACGTTATCATCTGAATCACTATGTAAGACAGGTATTTGTGACTTCGACATTTCCATTGATCTCAAATGCGTTCCAGTACACGTTACTTCATTATCGTTATCACTATCATCATCATCATCCAGAAAACGAGAATACTTATTTCTTCTCGTTCTTTTATTTCGTGATTGGTAATCTTTGCTATCGAGTGACGTTGTAGCAACAAATTCTTGAATGATGTGCTGTTTTCGTAGTTGCTCGTTACCACTATTTGCATTTAAAGCAATATCAGTTTTAATATCTGATTTATCTAGGAAAGCCGTCATCTCCATATCGTAATTTTCAAGCATAGAATTATTATGGCCTAGTGCTTCACAAAAACTAGAAATTTCGATCAAATCTTTAGTTCTCTGTGTGTGCTCTATTTTATGATGCGGTAATAACACTTTCTCATAAGATGAATAATGTGGTAGATCATCAAAGGCAATGGTATAAGCTTGTGAATTACTGCTCGTTAGTACTTTAAAATTATCGTTCCAATATGAAAATTCTTCATCATTAAGATACCAAGCATCTTTTTTATTCGTTCCTTTGCCAGTCGAACCTTGTGTCAAAGTACAAATGACAACGTAAAACAACTGCAAATCTATACTATGCGAAAGCTTATAAAAAAATATGAATTTATATTAATAAAAATAATTAACTGTTGCAAGTTATGTAGAACGTTATAAAATTATAAAGTAAACAGAATATTAACTATGAAGCGTTCATGAAATTTTAACAAATACCGATAAAGGCATACGATCAATTGATAGGTAGTAAAAATCGTACCCTTCTTCAAATAGGCCAGTATATTGTCATTGCTATGGGTACTCTTTGTTATATCTTGTTCATCATCATCTAACTTTTTAACAGTTAATTCAGTCTTATAGGGTTGGGGTTTTAGATGAGCTGGAACCATTCTTGGATTATGTTGGTATAATTGAAATGAATTGACGCTGTCACGAATGGCTCGGTGAATACTTTTCTTTTTATTTTCTGTTTTACTTTGAAGCTGCAATTGGAAAGAATAAGGGTTTAAGAATTTAATTAGAAGTGCAATTTACGGTTTCAGTAAAACCAATTTAAGTTATCTAATAGATAGCTAGTTTGTCAATACTCCATTTTACTGAACTTGCCTGCTCCTCTTTACCTTCCGTTACTAGTAGGACGACTCTTCCTCGTCTCTTACGGCCAGTGCGACCCATTCGTTGCACTAATCGTATAGGTGATGTGTTGGAATCATAGCATATAATTAAATCAACATCACCTATATCTAATCCTTCTTCTCCTACGCATGTTGAAACTAGAGTATTATAACCGCCACGACGAAAGTCTTGAATGACCTAGAACATGAATAGAAAGGACATTCTTCTTATCATTTTGGTTAGCTTAATAGCTAACTATATCCAGAATTGGCAGCTTTTTAAAGATCACCTTTAATTGTTCCTTTTGAGATAAGCCGCGTGAACTTTTACCTCCTGAAGTTGCTTGACCCGTAAAGCTCATAACTTTCACGGTCGGTGAATAATGTTTGAGAAGATCAGTTATTTCTACTACAGAATCTCGATATTGAGCAAATATCATTATCCGTGTTTTTAACGATGATTGTCCAGACTGTTCATATATATATAAGCATAAAAATTTGATTAAAAGAGTTGATAGATATATAAGAAAATGGCAGTACAATATCACTGGTAAGATTACCAATGGCTTTTGTTATCGCATTAACTTTTGATACTTACGTTACTGTCTGGAACTATAAAGTTTTCGAAGTGCCCAATGACAATGTCTCTTAATTTACTTAATTTTGGATGACTATTAAGCAAAAACTGGACGTTAGTAGTTTTTGATTTAGGAGTCAACTGACTATTGTAAGAGCGATTAAATTTAAAGTTTAGTTCGTCCATAATTTCGATAAATATGCGATTCTTAGCCAAGTTTCCTCTAACTTTAGATGTACTCTTGCTATTGTCAACAATGCCTTTAGCAAATTGATAGAAGGATTTCATTCCTTGCTGTATTAATAATTCATAAGCATGATATAAACTGATGGCTAGAGCAAAATCTCCTTCAATGCTTCCACGTTGAGTTGAAAACTATAAGGCGATGGAAGAGTCCACGGAATATCCACGAAGAGAAGGAACATAGTTCACGACAAACAAATCATGCACAATCAGCACAATCGATTAGAAGTTGATCAATTTTACAGCTCTTAATCAAGTTGAAAAATTAGTAAATTGAATTAGTAAACTACTTTATAAAAATCAACGTACTCCGGATGTCCCTTTCCGAAATTGCTCTCGCGCTTTGAGAATTTGATATTTAGATAATCTTTCAACTTGATTACTGTATAGTACTTGCTGTCTATGCAAACGTTCAATTACATCACCAAGAATCTAAAAATAAACCAAATCCAATTTATCAAAAAAGCAGTTAGATATCACGAAGACCATTGTACCTTACTTTACAAGTCCAGTAACTTTGACCTGCTTTTACTCTTTATATAGCAAAATGTTCAAACACATTAGCTTCATAACACTGTACCGTAAGAAATTTGGCTTTAATCGCTTTTAATTCTTCACTTAATGGAACAACAATTTTCTGAATACTTCTTTTATGTGTGTAAGGTCGAATATCGATTGACTCTTCCGATCTTATTTCCACATCGGATATCAGCAAGTTTGCAATAACTTTTTGTACATTCTAAATTTCGTAAATAAAAATTAATGTTTTCTGCTAGCTTAGACTACCCTTGCGTTGGTTAATACTATATAGTAAATAATGTACGGTTAATTATTTCTTTCTATTTTAGTGAACGAGTGAGTAATGTAGTATACTCATAAGAAATGTCGTATCAGGACATATAATGATAAGGGTATATTTGGCTTATAGATGTTTACATCAGGCATTAATTGTTATTTATACAAAAATCTTTTCTCTTACATACTTGAATATCATCACCCGGTGTTGCACTTAAGGCTAGAACTCGAAAGTTTCGCGTATAATTGCAAAGGCCTCTAATAACCTGTTATTGTATATTGATAAATATATATTCATTCAATCTTTAGTAACATGATTTGTATTGACTGCTTTCCTTAACCAAATAATAATGAAAATATGCTAACAAAAATATATAAAATATGTTCGCATCTAGTACAAGAACGTTTAAGGTTATCCACTCAACATAATACATTAGTCATTGTCTTAATAACCTGACAATATGCATGATTTCCTAAAGCTCGATGGGCTTCGTCTACAACCAAGCAAACGATATCATTGGCACAACAGGTCTCTCGATTAAGATCATTTTGTAATACTTGAGGAGTTAGAAAAAACACACGCTTAGACTGCCAGACTTGACGTCGTTTATCGGGATTCATAGTTCCTAGATTTATAAACCAAGTATTCTTTAATTAGAGTTAACGACAGTTGCAGCTACCTACAATAGTCCGAAAGTTCGGTAGTCCAAATAACAATGGATACTGACGAATCATTTTTATAGAAATTTAAACTGGATTATATTTATAATAATAATCTATTTTCAAGGGTTTAGCTACTAACAATTCGTATCAACTGTAATTGTTTCTAAAATAGACTGAGCTTACGTTGTATAATAACCTATTTAAACAATAAGGTTTTATTTACTATTAATATTAAAATACATACACTAAAAATAATAGAATTGTACGACGCATTTACTAATAGAATAAATTATACACCATTTTATGTTAATGTATGTACTCCAGTTTCCAAATAATGCAAGGCATGGATTTGTATTTTGAAGTGATTGGTGTTACTAGAAGGAATTGTTACATGAGAACAGAAAGTACTGAATCTATCCTTCGATTTCGTTTTAATCTATATTTTTATTGGGAGCTTATAACCAGAAGGTTGTAATTGTTTAAGTAAATTACACCAGGGCTGGTGATGTTCTTGTAATAAGACACAATGCTATCCACAATAGGTGTACAATATTGTATATCCAACTGGTGGTGGGTTATCCTTATTGTCGTAAACAAATGTGTAGTTTATAGGTGAAATCAATACAGTATATAATATAAAGATGCATCAATGAAAGTGGTGTTAACACTAAATTGATGCTTATGAAGTATTCTACTATAATTTGATAAAATTATCGACACGTATACAGCATTGATCTAAAGTAATTTTTACTATCCTGTACACTGTATTTATACCGTAGCCATGTAATGGATAGAGGTTAGGATTGAGTTTGACGTGTTAAAAATAACAGGCAACTATGTGCATATACATTATAGGTTTACGTTCTACTTCGGTAACCTGTCAGCCTAATGGTAGTATCTCGTGGAATTCCCGTCACATTATAGCATGCTTCTTCTTGTTGAGCAACTAATGGTTTAGTAGGTGCCATAAAAACAACCTTGCCATTGGGATACCAACGAAAAAAGTTGTACATAACAACAGCAGCGATAAATGTTTTACCCAGTCCAGTAGGTAATGTCACTAAAGTATTTTTAAATAGAGCTTTTTGTGTAATATTATACTGATAATCACGCAGAGGATAATTAGTAGGATAAATCCAGTTGTTCCCACTATCCACATCGAAACCAGGTAGGACTTCAATCTTTGGCTTGCTACTATGCATGATCGAATGCGATGAGCTCGTGGATGGAATATTATCTGGTTTATTTTGATCAACACCAACGGCAAGCAATAAGTCATCGTCATCATCTGGTATTTCTATTACATCTGTTACAGTAGAGTTACTTGTGGTCTTGCTCTTACTGTTAGACCAAGAAGTTAGTTTGCTTTGCTTCATGATGTCTTTTAAATTTTGATATCGCTATGACTGGCGCAAACGGAGAGCTAACGGAATGGAGAGGCTATACAATAGGTGTAAAGCGTTGTGTCTTCTGCCATGTCACAAAAATCCTAACTTTATAAAATAAAGGAGAATTTAGTTATGCGTACACACGACGTAAGTTTAGTTATATTTAGTTATACGTAAACGCGACTACTCCGCATACTACTATTATAATAATTTATTATTTACTAACGTGTCGAATGTAATAAAGTTGGGGCTATTTATCAGTCATTGCCCTACAGAGGTAGGTACTCTTAGGTATGGGCAGTGTTACAGCTAGCCTAAAGTTGCATACTACTGCTAATAATATGCTTGAGAAAAATATCGATGCAAAAAGTTGACACCGAACTAATCAAATGTAATTGCTAGTTTGAGGCTATATCCAATTTAATACAGCAAACATTTTGAAATGCTACCAAGGTCTATTGACATTAGTTTGATTAAGAATAGGAGAGAGATCCAATGACCTTTCAAATTGTAAGCTCTAAGTACTGCACAATATAGAAAGCTAAATGCAAGGCAAGGATGATGATCGGTTTACAAATATCCAACTATTGCATTCGAAATTACTGCGTCGCTTAAATATGAGACCCTTTCTTGTTATCAGACCATTGCGAGCTAGCAAGTGGTAAAAATTTCTACATCTATTAACCATGTGATTCTGTTTTTAAAACATTAGTTTAATTTTAACAGAGTACATGGTAGGCTGTTGGTTAATAATAATAATAATTATTATTACTTCCAGCTATTGTATTAGATACAGTACTACTAAGTGCCTTAAATAGGAAAGCCTGATCGCTATCTTACAAGCAAGCTACCAGCTGTTTTCGTATCTATCATCCATTGATATCAGATTATCTTTTATTAACTGATTCAAAGTTCTTTTCTTAATTCAGCAGGTCTTGATGAAGACAAACGATCAAAATCTGCCTCTGTCTTAATGGAGCTAAGGGATCCAAGTCGAATGTGGAGGCAATCCACATGCTTTACATGAGCATAAAACCGATCATTTCACACACTATCTTGTCTACAGTATTTAATACGATGACATGATAGCTACTTTATCGTTGCTCACCTGTAGATTAGAATAGAAAATTGTATCCCGATCGGCAAATATCTTGAAGGTTCTTGATAAAGACTGGATATTTGCTAGGCTAGATCGTCAGCATAATCCTCGTACTGTACTGTACAGTAATAGTGTGACGTCAGGTCTAGTGTGACATACTGTACGTCTGGTCACTGTAGACAGTATTGTGTCTATTTACAGTACAGTACAGTACATTCCCTTAGCGTCTAAGGTACAGTATACAGTAGGATTCGATTCAATGAACAGTTTTATGCTCGTCGAATATCAATACACAACATTAGAAATAGCGAGATGGTAATAGTAAGTCCTATATCACTCAAGGCTATAACAGCACTAAATCGATGTTGTTGACATCGGCGGCAACACGATCAAACACGATTGTCATTCCTTTCTACAGTCTGCTGTACTGTACACAGTACAGCATACGGTAGGACTAGGACTAGACCGGACTGGAATGTGCCCAAGTCTAATACAGTGCAGCCAGGGAAACATCTCAACTTTTTTGTCCCTGGTACAGCAGTGTCCTTTTTTAAGGTCATAGAAGCAGTTTGATATCGAATTCATCGATTTTGAAAGATTTCCAAATGTTGAAGATTTATTCGCCGATAGTTCCATTCTCCATAGTAGAAGAAAGAAACCACCTTGATCAAATGACACCTTTGTAATAATGTACTTATTGTACTACACTATACCCTACAGTATAATGTCTCTATCAATACCAAATTTAACTGCCGTACGCTAAGAGTTATGTTTATCAACCATAATCAATCAAGGATTCCATAACTACTACAAGCATGCGTAAACGAATCCTTATCAAAGCGCCAAGATCAGGATAGACCTCTATCACTACTACAAGCATGCGTAAACGAACCTAATCAAAGAGCCGAGATCAGAATAGATTTCTATAGCTACTATAAGCATGCGTAAACGAATCCTAATCGAAGCGCCAAGATTAGAAAGGATTTCTATAACTACTACAAGCATGCGTAAACGAATCAAATCTAAGCGCCGAGTTAATTTAGAATAGATTTCTATAACTATAACAAGCATGCGTAAACGAACCCTAATCGAAGCAATGGAGCTACAATAGATTTCTATCACTACTACACTGTCAAACAAGCAAAGGAATACGCAAGATGTCATACGGAGCACAGTAAATGGATACGCATGCGTACAGTACTTTTACGCTTAGGTCCCTATCAAACAAGGAAGGAAATACGCAAGATGTCATACGGAGCACAGCAACAAGCTACGCATGCGTATAGAACTTTTACGCTCAGGCCCTTGTCAAACAAGGAAGGGAATACGCAAGATGTCATACAGAGCACAGCAACAAGGTACGCATGCGTACAGTACTTTTACGCTCAGGTCCCTGGTCAATACTGGTCAAACAAGGTAGTATATTATTACAAAGGTGTCATTTGATCAAGGTGATTTAAGAATAAATCCGCAGTATGCTAGTCTAAAGCACTCATCACCAACTATGATTCTGTATGGGAAACTTCAACTATGGAGAATGGAACAATCGGCGAATAAATCTTCAACATTTGGAAATCTTTCAAGATCGATAAATTCGATATCAAACTGCTACTAGGACCTTAAACGGAAGCAAAATTCTCTACGATTGAGATCAACTCTATATATCAATCCAGTGACGACGGATGAGCTACAGACAGACCAGAACAAGCAAGGTAATACAGGACAAAGAATCCGAGGTGATCTCTTGCAGTATGCTAGTCCAAATCACTACTGCTGTACTATGGTTATGTATGGATTAGCTCACGGGGATTAAGTCACAGCTGGACAACTTCGAGCATGTTAAGAATGCACCGCCCTAATTAGTCGAACTACGTCATCGGCAGAAAATTCTACAAGATTGAGCAGACTTTCAAATTGGAACATGGCGGTTTACTGAGTTTGGTATTGGCATAACGAAGTTATTGGTTCAGTAATAGTAGAGACTAATATTAGAAATTCAATATCGCTGAAGATTCGCTACTTGAAGAGCTCAACGATGGCGATCAGCATGCTAGACGGTAAGACAAATCAGCCAAAAAATCAAATGCCAAATAGCAAATTGATTGCCGTATTGTAATATTATAATATATATTGGATCATCAACCATCCATTGGGTATCCTTCGTAGCCAAATATCAGGATAATTAAACTATTCTGTACCTTGTAGAAAGATAATGTTGGTAGAAATTATTATTAGCTGTCAATCTTTTCAATAATCTCTTGATGATAAATCGTTTACGTACGCATATTAGTCGCACAATCTCAAATCCAAAAGATTCTCATCAACATCCCAACATTAAAATTGCTCATCATCGCATCCGTTGGATGATAAGCTTCTACATCGTTATAGGCTTAGGATAGGAAATACAAACATTCTTAGTAATGAATAAATCGATCGTAAAGGTACAGTACGAATACCATTTGCTCATCAAGTTCATGATATCGCATTTAGCAGTATATCAACATAATGATCTATGGTAGTAAGATCAAATGGCGTAAATGAAGGACGGACACGAATGATAACGTTAACTGTCTTTAATTAAAGGCTACATCGATCAACAATTAACAATCGGACGTAAAAATGGACGAATATTATCTACCCAGTTGATAACCTCAAATCCTATATTTCGCTAAACTCGTAAACCTATGCATCCAAGATATTAAAAATCACATCACGTAGATGGATAAAAGCGAGCTACTCTACCGTCACTCTACGTATACTGATGTGAACATCCATCACAAGATGTGTGAATCCCATTTGCACTGTTGAGAATATCCCGTCTACTGTAATGATGACAGGGACTACTCGAAAGAAGATAAGTCTCTGTCAGTAATGAGTAAATGAGCGTGAAAGATCCATGACATGAAATTCATATCTCATATATGGATGATATTGCGGCTAGAAGTTTGGGATGATGATCGATTCAGGCCTTTTTTAGTAATGTATATCCACAATCAATTTTAAAATGGGCAAATACTACCTGCATACTGTAGTTCATAATCTCAAATTTAGTGAATGCCAGTATAAAGATCCTAAGGTTAAAACCTAATCATGTAGATGAATGTAGTTGTTAATGAGTCATTACCCTACTTTTAAGCGTGATAGATACAAGCCCTTTTAAACATCTGCCAACATCAATCGTAAAATGTTTTACAGAAGATTAACGAATATTTTCTCTACATATATTGAGATTTAAATTTTTACAATCAATTTGGTTACCGTCATACTGACTAGATCACGGGAACGGTGCAATCAAATTAGTTTCATCCGGTTCCATAACTTAAATTAAGACTTCCCAGTGTAGACCTTTAACATGGTGCAGGAGTGCAAACTATGTACTGTACCTTTTCGCATCCTTTTACCTTTTATAACATAGTGTGCATAATGATTTCATTATGGATCATCATCATGGGCTACTACTGTACAGTATAATTTACCTTAATTAAATATCTAATCCTGATTCTCGTACAATACGTTTATGCCAGGATGCTTGATTAGGGCCTAAATCGTAACATAATCAATTAATTGGAATTTTCAATTATCATTATATTCCATCGTTATCATTAGTAATCATTATAACTTATATCTTATTAGTGCAGTACAGACTACTGTACAGTACTGTAGCGTTGTGCATAGCACTTGTAATAAATAATACAATCTGTTAACATCTACTACTTATTACCACCAAGTTAACCACCACAGAGTCCTGAATGAAAGAAGTTTAATTTCCTTCAAAAACTGGCTAATGATCTACAGTATTTGATGACGATGATCTCACTATAACTCTGCTGTGCGATCCCAATCTGTTTAGTATAATTAATCAATACGCCGATAAGCTCAAGAACAATTTTTCGCCATGATCTCCATAATATTAGGCTTAGGTATTTATAGTTAATTCGTTCTGTCATAATACGGACTAAGTAGAACATGACATTACTGCAATGAAATGGGCAACAGTAATTTTATGAAACTTGTAGTTTGTAATGTGCTTTCGATATATTTTTACAAATCGTTAAAATATCCCATCGCTCGATTATGATCACACTATTGCTTATTGCTCTTGCTTTGTATGATTTATCATTCTACTACTAGTTCATTTTCTACAAGAAGTGAACTTTGATGTAGTAGTAAACCGGATTAAGTTAGGACCGCAAACTTAGATCAACTCCAATTTACTATAGTTCGGATTAATGCAGCTTGAACAACTACAGTCACACCTCCAAATGAGATCGATTGTTTTCTAGTGAAATCGTATACTACATCTTTAGCAAATCTGTATGGTCTGTTAGAGCCTGTAAATTACTGGTTAATAATAGATGGGCAGCATAGTGACAGTAAAAGGAACTATTTTTACTGCTGCTGAATGCTAATCAGAAACGAAACTGTTGACCATTATACAATACAGCATGACATGGATGTGGAATATTTTTGTTGTATTAAGATTGATACCTCTTAATTAATCTATAAGATTGGTCAAGGTTTATAGACGTTGAACAGCACGGTGTTAGTAAAGGATACCAAAAACCGAGTTATTAATACAAAACACACCAAAAGAAGTACTAACTTTCCTTGAAGCTAAATCTGAAATTTGTAATGCTTTCTTGATTTTTTGTTACCATGGTCAACGCTGTAGCAATTACTTGGAATTCCATCGCCTTGATGATTACTGGCATAACGTTCTTATTAACAGCTGAAATTTTATGCAAGTAAGAAAACCAACCATCTTCTATCCTAGTAGCATAGCATAACATCCCTTTCTATTCTCTTAACATTTCTAATTAAAACTCGTTTTACTAAGCAAGTAATACAAATAAACTTATCACTTTATAGGAATCGATTTTTCTATTATTTAATTGGTATATCCTGCGGCATCCTGATTGCTTTACTGATTATTGTTCATTATTTAAGTGGATACGTTCCTCAGGTTAGGAAAATCTTGTCAAACTAATGCTGTTTTAACTATCTTGAGGTGATAATTTAGTAACTTGATAAGCTACTAGTAACGTTTCTTACTCTGTGATCAGAAAAACTTATCGCGGTTAGTACTTGTCAGTGGATTTTTTGGCTTAGCCTATTTTACGGAACAAGTCGTATTAAATTTTCCGCTGATAATAAATTATTATTGGCGACCACTGGTGATATACCTTGGAGTCGCTGGAATTATTAGTTTCTTTGTTTGCTACCTATATGAGCCCCCTAAAGTTGATCGGAAGGTAAGCAAATCTGTTATTGTGATAGCAGAAGCTTGTAAATAGGTATATCTATATAATCGGGATACAAAATGTATACTAAATTAAGGAAAATGTCGTATTCAGTATAGTTTCAATATTATGTATTAATGCATTTCTAGAAGCAGAATAGATATTGATATCTTCTTATTTACTACTACGCGCAGTAAGTTTGATCAAATTGACAGTAGATTGTACGCTTTAAATTACCTTAATCAATAGTGATGTTGCTATTACGAATTTGCCACAATAGCCATTTCCTAATGACTTGTTGAAGATATTTTTTCTAATTGTTAAAATGATTACAGAGAGATATTCTTAAGTGGATCATTCAGTTATTGGGTCTAGTTCTCATCTATAACGCATCTTATTCTGAAAGAATGGGCGTGGGTATTGTAGTAGCTTGTTGTGTGATGAAATGGCATCACGATATATATAGTCTCTTCATGAGCGTTTTGAATGGTTTTAGCATACTTAGGTCAGCAACAATATAACCTTTTTCATTTGTCATGATTTTTACTAACCCTTTTTGACTTAGTTTAAAGATTAAAATTGCAGATAATGATGGCTCATTTTAATGCTTTATGGTCTGTTTGCTAGAAAATATTTACCGAGATACACGGTACCTGAGCCACGACGTTTATTAACGGAGGCAGAATATGAAATAGAAGGTAAAATTGCTACTGATAATGCCCTATTGGATCTTCGTCGATATTGCTTAAGTTCTGAATGTAATTCGTGGGAACTTATTAGCAAGCTCAAAGATCCGAAGAGGTAGGAACTGGCCGATTAGTATCAGTCTGGCTTAGGTCCTGAATTTATAAAATAATCATTATCCTCCTACTTCCGTAATTTTTTCTTATCTGCATCTTGTAACAACGTACATTTCGTTAAAAAAGAATGCCCATTAATGATACGTTTTTATTAACTATATTAGCTTTGCAAAGTTTCTATGTGGAGAAAAGGACCTCAATGATGACACAATGTTCACCTGGATGAATGACAGTATGTTTGAGTTAGAAGAAAACACCACTCGTACTGCTACGCAAGAGCCTGACAGCGAGGTATCCAACACAGTAGATTCCAATTAGAAGATAATCTACAATTAATTTGAAAATTAGATTTTTGTATTTCCACAGAAAGTCTAACTCATTTATTGTACTGTTAAAGTGCATTTTAACTCATTAATTATTATCATTAAAATTAGCACTTATCTCCGAATGGTATGATAAGTCTAATAAGCGATGCATTTGTAATAACATGAGATGTCAGTTTCAATATAATATTCTTACGGGTGTGAATATTACGTGTACCAGAAAATTTTTTGTCTATTTCAACTGCAAATTTATCTAGTAACCCAATAAAAGACTGTAAATATGATCTTGAATGGATACAACTATTCGATCTCAAACACGAACGTACATATGTTCTATAAATATCAACTTGTAATCGAACTTGAAAAATTGTCCAATTTTTCACCGGACTATACAAGTGCATATATTTATTTCTTAGTGTAGAAAGCATGGATTGATTTAGCATGTATAAGCTCTTTGATGAAGTAAAATAATTTACCGATTATTTCATAGTGTCATCGTACAGTGTACATTATATGGTTGTAATCTAAATGAAGACACTGTCTTCGCTGATATAATGGCAGTGCAGCAACTGCCTATAAGAGCTGTCATGGAGTGGCATCAAAAATGTTTTATATCTGGGCACTAGAGGAGCTCAACCTTGGCAGCATACTGTAATCAACTTCGTGCAGCAATGTGGGTTAACGCTAGTGCAGAATATTAGAAGTTACTCTTACAATCACTGAACATATCGAACAAAAAGAAAACTTCTGGCCATTTAATTATGACAAGATTCATTAAAAAGTGCTACAGTGTACGTACATATTGGCTTAAGAGATAAAAATTCTACATAATACAACACTTTCAGTACCACATGCATCATTAGAATTTTATTTTTGTCACTGATGAAAAATTCATTTTTTAGCCTCGTCATTTCTTACTAAAACACTAGATCTTCGAAGAAAGAAGATATAGACTTCTCTACAAAATCTGTTTTATACTATACTTTTCAATATGCATTTTAGAAGGGCTACTGATGCATGCCTGTATTGGTATATGCGAACATATCTATTTCAATATAACGGAAGTTTCTTTCATTTTAACACAAGTGCTACCAGTGGCGTTAAAAATTTTACATCTCTGAAAACATTACTTCATGCCAGATATATCCGAATATAACATTCAAATCAAAATCTTTTCATAATGAAACGTTGTGTTGACAAATATTCGATTTCAACTACTTCTTAAAGACTAAATATGTTCAAATGGTTCCTAAATTTACACTTCGATATCTAGTGTAGTATGCGTACATAAAAACGTGTTAATTCTATCATGAAGGGTTCTGCATATATACGAGTGTATCTAGTCTCATTCTTTCATTCGAATGCGTAATCAATTCCTCCTTTCGCAACCATTCCTTTGAATACCGATCTGGGATTTTCCATTAACTTAGACGGAGTATCGAATTCGATAATCTGTCGTTACGTGATGAAATACAAAATAGTTATTATCATGTTAATTCCAATAATACCGAATATAGAAAATTATCAGACCCTGTATGGCAATAAACTTAAATTAAAAAATCTTCACCTTTCCGTCATGCAGCACCATAATTTTGTCGCACGACTGAATCGTATTAAGCCTATGGGCTATTATTAGTACCGTACTGTGACTAAATTCTTTCCTTAAATTTTGTTGCATAATCTCATCCGTTCTAGTATCCATATATGCTGTAGCTTCATCTAATAATAAAATCTGTAAAGATTATAAAGGCAACATTGTCAAGCGATAGCGCAAAATCTGATCGTAAAGGTAAATGAATAATTAAAAATAACTATGCAACGTTACCTTCGATTCTTTTAATAGAGCTCTAGCTAAACATAGCAGTTGTCTTTCTCCCATTGAAAAGTTTGTTCCGTTAGCTTGAACAATTTTCTGTAATTGATCAGGCTCATTGGCGATCTAATAATTTATATAAAATATAATTTTCAAATTCTTGTTATTTACAAGTAAGGTAGTAGAAAATATTTCACTTCAGTACTTAAAACCGTACCTTCTCTTTAAGCTGTACTTTTTCAAGAGTAGCCCATAATTTTTCGTCTTCGTAATAATCAAGTGGATCAAGATTTTTTCTACAGTTGATTAAAATATGCACAGCATTTTTATATGCATCTTTTTCATTCGAATGAATTAAAATTAACCAGAAATACTGGTATTGTGATACATTTTTATACCTGACAGTGCCTTCAAATAAATATGGATCTTGTGGAATCATAGCCATATTAGATCGCAGGCTGTAAATATCTGTTAGAAAACGATTTCATATAGCATGTTTATCTTTAAAGCGAAAAGTAATTCATTGATATTACTAGATCTGTGTAAAAACAAACTATATGATAAATGTGGTAAAGATGGTTGAATATTTGTAATCATTTCCAATTGTTCTTCTTACGTAAATTAATGCATTTACCTATAGATTTTATATCCCGATTATCAATCAAAATTGAACCACTACATATTTCTACAAGACGAAACAGGCAAGTACCTATTGAAGTTTTTCCTAACGTACCGGCAGTAAAGAAAAATTATTAATCTCTACGAAATAAAAATACATAGTAGCTAATATACTAGATCTATGGCACAGCACCACTTCCGGTCCTTCCTACAATTCCAATTCTTTCACCAGGATTTATCGTAAAGCTGAGGTTCAATACTACAGGAAGACCAGGACGATATCGCATCTAGCGTTATCATGTAACATGCTGTTAACAAGCGATAAAATGCATAGACATTCAATTAAAATTCGACATATTTACACATAGCTAAACCTGCCTGGACATCGGCGAATTCAATTTTGCCATGATCTAATGCCCACTTTTTATCTACAGAAACCTTCACTTGGTAATCATTATTAAGTTGGTTTTCTATTGGCAACTCCTATAAAGATTTATTCGATCAAATTTAAATTTAGAGTCGATCGGCTATTTTACTCGTATATCAATATACGTGTACGCGAGTGAAGAGGATACCTTAGAATACTCTCGCAATCGTTCAACAGCAGTTAACCTGGCGCTTACTTGCAGAATATTTCTTATTGAAAACTGTAGAAGACCTTTTATCTATAAAGAAAATGTTTAGCCATAAACTACGATTCATTCTAAAATATTACACGAAATTATTCTAACTGAAAAGGCTGAAAATGGCTTACTTGCAAAACGTATACTAGTGCGAGGCCCGAATAAGCGGAAGAAGTAAGACCACGTTCGATAACCACTAGAGCTGAGCATACAGTCACAAGACCAACCACGATCCAGTTAATTCGTTGAGCAAACCACCGGTTTAAATAACAGAAAGCCATAAAACAGGATGTGTTCTTATTTAGCAGCTTTTCAAATCTATCCATGAAGGAATACATATTAAAGTAACTTTGATACTGAGTAATCACACAGTTATCGATCATAAAACTATTGCAATGATTTTTCTCACTTTGCAAGGTATTCTTGAGATTTATTATGAGCATGGATGACTGATAACCCTAATTTATTGAGTTCAAATGGGAATTTAAAGTAGATAAATGAGAAAAGGAGCGCTATCTATACTTTTAGATTTACCTACCGTAATAGTTAATAATGTATCATCATTACCTTCAACAGTTGCCGTTAAGTGTGACAGAACTGGAGAACGGCTAATATTATCAAGTCTCTTCAACTCTCTTAAAACTTGATTGAATATAACAGCAATTAACCCTATCGCTATCATCAAAGGGATAATTGCAAGAATTGCCCATGGATATGATACCACTATGATTATTAGCGATGCTAGTATTGTTAATATCAACAATAGCCCATTATCAATAAACATCGGGAGTTGTGTGTCAACTAAAAAGTCATAAATGTATATATATATATATATATATATTGTTAGAAAATTGAGGAGATATCAGACTGATATGATGAAAACACCACATGTAATGTTTTGTTTTAATATGAATTACTTTCATCAATATCTCTAGAAAATCGATTGAGGATTCTACCACTAGGAGTAGTATCGAAGAAACTCATAGGGCATCTAATAATCTAGATGTAGAAGTATATGTAGTATTCATATATATTATTGTATAATAGCAGAAGTTATTAAAATACATCAATTATGCACAGTATATATTATATATTTATGAAGATCTACATTTAAACCTGATACACCTTCAAACTTTACCTTATACAATGCCTTTGCACATAACTCAGAAGAAGCTCGAAGAGTAACCTAGATTACATATTGTGCAGAGAATCGTAGATAGCTTTCAGAATAGATTCAGTCTGAAGAATTCCAATATATCAAATTTTATGTTAGAAAACAAAATTTAGTAAACTAACTTTGGAGATTATAAAAGCACGTATAGCATACGCTAGCATTATTGCCAAGGCAGAAGACCCATAAATGGTTGCATTAGTATTAAAGAATGTTGAATGATTAGAGTTTGTATATAGGCCTAAGCTTTGATTTGTTTGACTGTCATTGTTACCCTGGAATGCGTAGAATATTTAGAGAGTTTTTAATATCTTACGTGAGACTCATTAGTTGTACGTAATTACAATAGTCAATTGAATTACTTCAAATTAGTAACACGAAATATACTTACGAAGCCGTTACTGATCCACTGTGAAAGCCACCAGTCTGAAAATACCCGCATAGCTACCCCAGTTCCATAAACAAAGATAACTAATAAAACTACGAATTTTCCTGCAAGCCAATACAGCAATTGATAACATTACATCAAGTTATAGACTCTCAGTTGATTATTATACACGATGCCATACGTATTAAAGTTATTCTTACTCCCAGCTACGTATATATTTTTGAATCACCTGAAAGAAATTTGCTAATTAATTTTTACCTCCAGTGGCATCAAAGTAACTTGAAATCGTTTTGCATGTAACTGCGCTAGATTCTTCATTTTCTTTTTCGCTATCTACATGGTAACAATAAGTCTAATTAAGTAGTTCATAACCTTAGAAATGATCACAAATTTAAATTAGTTTTATCTTAAAATAGGTTTCTACTATAAGATAACAATGATCCTTTACTTATACTCACCATTCACCTGTACTGTTTCGTTGCGCGGAATAGTAGTCTTGATTTTCTTTGCATCTTCAATCGCATTTTTTTCTTCCTCGTCTTTTAAATTGCTGATAAAGTCGTTATATACCTTTTCATCAAGAGTTGATAAATTTAATAGTTGAAATAATATGCAGCCATTGAGGCAATCATTCTATTGAGTATGTATAAGGATATGGATCCTAACTTTGGAATTAGCTAGCAAATCTTCGTGATTATCATGAGCGACAATTTGACCGTCTTGCATCATTATAACAGAATCGCACCAGCGTAAATACTAGAATTGAAGAATTTTCGCCATAAACTCGGATCAAAATCAAATTGATAGATGCGAAAAAATTTTATAATTTAAAAATCAGGAAATTTTTATCTACTTGCAATTGGTGTGTTATAAATAAAATGGATTTCCCTTTCAGTACGCCTCTAATACACCAATTGAAGATATGTTTACCAACATCCACATCAACAGCGCTGAGAGGATCATCTAGTAAATAAATTTCTTTCTCTGCGTAAACTGCTCTAGCTAGGCTAACACGTTGCTTTTGGCCACCACTTAGATTAATGCCTCTATCACCAATCTAAATTGCAAATTTAGTTTTACTTCAGATACTCTCAGCTAAATTTTAAAATATTCTATAGTTTCTTGCAGTAAATATTGGCTTATTTTCGTTGAAATTCTATTTAGCTAATAAATTACCAACCAAAGTTTCGTCCCCGTTAGGTAGTGTAGTTAAGTCATCCATTAATACGCAACACGTCATAGCTTGCAAATATCTAACAATATTTTACCAATTACATAAACTTGCCCCCTTCTAGTAAATTTTCTTCAATCTTCAATATTTTTAGATAAAAACTGAAATTACCTATTTTTATCGAAGTCAGAACCAAAAACTACATTTTCCTTTAATGTAGCATTGAATATCCAAGCCTGATTTCATGAGAAGAAATAATTTAAATTTACCATAGCCTTAACACTTGATTAAAATTTTAGAATTAGACTGCTTTAAAAGAACACAAACTTGTTGCGATACTAGGGCGATTGAATCTTCTAATGCTACATTGCCTGATAACTGATTCATCTAAACAAATATAAATTAAACTATAAATTAATTACTTCGCAAAATTTATAAAGATGTTACTGAAAAAGTTGATAGATAAGAATGTATACTTCTCCTAAAATAGCAGAAATTAGCGATGATTTTCCACTGCCAATGCGCCCACAAACACCAATTAATTGGCCCTATCAAGCAATAACATCAGTAAAATTTAACGATAAACTATAGAACCCTTACATCTACTCTATATCTACTATTAACCAACAAATTTCATCTTTATTAATGATACCTTCTTAAGGGTTAAATTAATATCCTTCAGGATAAATTCTGTATGTTTTACTTAGTCGATGAGAAAAACAAATCACTGGTAAAATCTCCAGTCAAAATTACTATATATAGTTATTTATCATCTATCTATAATGCTGATACGCAAGGCTAAATAAAAATCTAATGTATAGTTTAAAATTGAAGTAGTTACAGCTGGTCTTGTTATCATCTTGTTGATTATCCTAAGTAGTTAAAGAAATTGCATACGGGTAAAATTTTAATCTTAAAAAAAAAATTTTTTAAGTCTTACAATAACATTGATTAACATAGCCCATCTTATGTAGCCACTTCGTTTACCAATTTCCAGCTAAATGATGCTCTTTCCATTGCAATAGCATTATGTATTCCTACCGGTATATCCATTCTTGGCTTTACTTCTTCCATTAAAAGCAGTTCCTAAATATTAATGACAGCAAAATTAAATACAAACCAGAGCTAGTCACACCCATTATTTAAAAGATGTTCAATAGGGACAATTTACAGCAACACACCTTCATTCGTTTTACAGCCACAACGGACTCCATCCATTGTCTTATCATTAGAGGAAATATACTTATGACAATACGCAAAACATTAAGTAGCGCAATACAAGTATATACCTAAGTTCATGATAAAATAGTTAAGTCGAGTGAATTAGTAGTTGTCAATACAATATTTGTTCATGGCAGATTTATTATTTACCTCTGCTATGCCAATATTGATGCCCGATAAAGCACTAACTGTAAATAAGACTATAGATGATATAGTTGGCACTAAAGTCAGATAGGAGATATTAAAACTTTGGATATAAGACACTTTCTCAAGATGAGCTCTTTCCTTCATTCGTAACCCTTGTGTAAGCAAAATTTTTAATTAAAGATTTAAAGATCGAGCTTATCAAATAGTAGTGCATAGCGTTATTGCAATCTACATATTGTAACTAATGTGTAGTTTTAATGTGTAGTTTTGTAGTCATAGGATAATTAATTGGACATACATCCATTTATACGCGTATGCATATACATAATTAATACGTACTGCTACCATCAGTATTTAAATACAGCACTTTAGCCTAATATGGTATTATATAGATAATATGTATTTAGGGATAGTATATATAAGACGTGTATTTCCTTATACAGCTAGGAGTTGGATACAATGAGTTCGACATTGCTTTGATGCTTAAGTAATTCGATAAAGTTATGTTAATACAAAACACAAACTATCCAATGCAAATACGCGTTTAATGGTTTAAATCATTACTATTTAGGACAGCTTCAAAGTGATTCTCCCAGGCGAAGAGCTTGATCAATTTAATGCAACGTAACATTTCATTCAATTGCCGAACCTACGAAAATAAAATTTAATAAAATAGAAATGTAGATAATACATGTACGAGTTCTTCATAAACATACGCGGCGGTCGGTAGATACAATTGATTTTTTACGTAGTTGTTTGATTGCTTTTGCCATTATTGCCTAATTAAATAAAATATTAAAAGTTTACAAGATGTTCGAAAAATTTACCAAGTGATTTTACGATCACAACAGTACAGCGATCAAAAACGTGAACAAAATAGTATTTCATCATATTGGATCAATTGCGTAAACCACATTACCATAACTCCATAGAAAATTAGAAAGATTAATGCTGCTACCAGAGAAACCGGTCCAATTAAGTAAATCATGACGGCAAATACTGAAATCATAGTTATTGGGATAGCTAAAATAAAAGGTATAATTATATATGTTACATTCGCAGTCATATACCAAGAAAAATTGTAAGCCAGTTCTAGTAAATGGAATTATTATGGATTGTCAGTAGGATGATATTTTAAAGTACCTTTTACTACGTATGTAACATAACTAGACGAAATATAAGGATAACATTCATGAATCAAGCAGATTCCTTATGCAAAGCTATCTGAGCTAAAATACCGTATATATTTGGTCTACTTATTTAACAACTTTTCACATATATAACTTTATCTTACTATGTTTATTAGTATATCCTATGCTCGTGATATCAAGTCCCCACTCCACAGTCTATTGTAAATATATTACATGTGACGTTGAAGACAAGGGTAAAATTATTCCATAAATTTAAAATCACAGCAATAACGAGTTTACGCGTAAAGTTAGACAAAGAAATTGACCAGGACTCTATAAAAATTAAAGTATTTATGTTGCTAACATCCGGGTAATAAATCCCCTACAGTAAATTGAAATCAATTGCATTAAATCGTTATAAAAATTACCCAAGCATATTCCAAGCATCGCAGCTGATTCAAAGATACGCTGGGCATCGTTGGCGCAGAGATTAATCAACTATTAAAAGAAAAATAATTTCAATTACTTCTGCATATTTGCTGCTACTTAACTATTGCAAATCTGAACTGTAGCCAGTAATTTGTACATTAATGTCAGGTAAATTTAAAGCACAATTGATAACTACATATGTTATACACCTATATAGTGCCGGGTACTTAACGCTATATCATAGATGTTTGATATACTATAAAATTGTTTTTCACAAACCTGACCCACGGAACTAGAATTGACCGACTTTAATTTTATTATTTTACTGAAGACAAATCCAAAGACCATAGATCGAATTTTGATCCCTGTTCTTATACTATAATACCAGAAAACTGGTAAGATCATGGATATAACAGCTTCAGAGGCGAACATACTCAATACCTACAATGCAAAATACTATGTCCATTAGGTGTACGCATATTGTAGTAAAATATAAATTATATAATGCTTCTAAGCGGTATATGGAAATGCGGTATACAGTACTATATTCGAATTGCACTAGTAAAGGTTTCACAACTACTGCTCGGTAAAATACTTACCAATATGATACCCATTTGGACAGAAGAAGAAGTTGATGTTGAATAACTGACTAACTGTTGAACCAATAACTTGAAAAATTTTTAAAATATTATAGCATTATTAATATAAGCTTGAAAATAAAGAAGTAGTCATACCGATTATGCAATTTAAATCGTAACGGTACCAAGATGGCATACACCTATATACTCGTATATATCTGGTGCTCGGCTACAATGCAGTCGTGACCAATTATGTAGTGAACAGCTGTGATTAACTGAAATCACTATAAACTAGAATGTACAGATTGATTTCTAACAGTCCATGCTGTATTTAATTAAGAACATTTGTTCCAATTTCATGGATGAGCCCTACTTTAGTCGTACAGTTGCTGCTTTAAGTATACTGTACAGTAAGTTCCCGATAATAAAATATACATGCGTATATTGGTATATATATAATCATATAATTTGTTGTACTGTATTACAGTCAAAGTAATAGTTAATTTCTATAGTAATTTTCATTGATACTATCTATATTACTTACAGAACTGGTCACCTGGAGGGCTACAACCAAACAGTAAAAAAGAACGGTAAAAAGTAAACGCTTTCTGATAGCTTTAACTAAGACACGCCCGATAGAAGCTTTCTGTCTACCATGGACTTTTAACTCGTGTTTCCATAATTTTTGAAAGATTTCATTGTTTGCTTGAAAAGCATCAGAATAAGGAACTTGCCAAATATCATCAAAGTTTAACTTTCTTTTTCTAGCTAGCTGAACTAATGGATTTAACCACCAATAAGTCAATTTGGAAAAAAAACTTGCGCGATAATAAGGAGCAACAATGGCGCTGCCAGTAGGCTGCCTGGATACCAAACAGAATTAGGTTATTAACCGTAGGTAAAGAAGCAGTAATAATGGGCAGTAAATTATATAAAATCGTTTTGGTATAAGAGACATATGTGAGTTAGTACTCATACAACCTTGCTACTATGATGTACTCTTAAATGATGTGTAATTGCATGATAAAAATAATAATAATGCTAATCCTACATTATATATAGCAATATTTGTCCGTATGGGCAAGTATGCTAACGACAATGGATACTTCTTCACAACATGTGTATCTTACTTCCAATTATCTTTGTTCTTATCCATGATTTTACCAACTATTGCAGTATTAGTGATTTTGAATTTGGTTAGCTCTTTATGGTGTCGCTGATGACGATGATGATAATCCTGCTAGAGAAAGAATTATAATTCAAAATTTTCATTTCAAAAAGATTGAATATGCAGATACCTATTCGGCCTCCCTCCATACTAATATACGAGTACAATATTGTATACTGTGCGTATACTGGACTACAATAGCTATAAGCAAGCTACAGTAATATTATACAAATGGAGATAACATGATTATTTGTGAGCCTCACGATTATTGTATCATTGCTGCAAAACACAATGACTACAGTTTACAAGCCCATAGCATGACTTGAGCTGAAAGCCATATCTGAAGTAATTTACTAGTACAAGCAGGAAAGCGCATGGTAACTGGTAGATCTATTAAACTTGATAATATTATTGTGTATGCCTACGGAAATATGTGATAGAACATGTAATATGATTTCTTGAAATACGCAATGATTGCTGTTAAGGATGATGAGAGGATGAAGAGCAGGTTTATTTGTAGATTGAGAATGAACGCACATAGGTAGTAACAAGCAGTTACATTGATAATATATAGTAGGTTATCTATTCATTATATTACAGAACAATATTAAGCTGCAAGTCAGTAGCAAGGTTCCAATCTGAAAGTCTACTACTTCAATGGAAAAGTTATTTAAATGGCAGCTTCTATATTCATCAGTAGAGCACTGTCGTTAATATAGTACACTACATTCCACGTCTATCCTAATGTCCTTATAAACTTTAATTGACTGAAATAGTTGTGATTACGTAATTTGTAGTGATTCAAATAATTGTTTACGCATTTGTAGTTACTATAGGTACTATACTACTGATGTAATCGTATAACGAGTATATTGTTTATAATTAATTCTTCGAGATAATTAAGCTGTACACACAGTATAATAATAATAATGCTGCCTACAACATTTGTACGTTTTACAGATGATGCCTACCACCGTTTCGGTTTGATACTGCTTTAGCTTTTACTGTATACTGAGTCAGACTGATTGCACATCGTATTTAAGAAAATGAACCAGAATCAAGCAGTAAATATTGTGTATGTCAGAACGTTGAGGCATGATGTTGTGTAGTGAACCAGTATGCTTAAAACTTGAGGTGGTCTGGGAGTCGAATAAACTTGTAGATAAAACAACTGTTACATACTGTCTGTTGCTATTAAAAGGATTGAGCTATCATGTACAATCTTGTAGGCTTGGCATCGTTACTTTAAACCTAATGTTGAGTTCATTCTTACTACCTACTAGTTAACCTAAATTAAGTTCCCGCATCGACAATGACCATTGAACAATATCTCAAACCCATGTCAATTATTCCGTTCAACCAATAATTGGATGGTCATGATGACGTAGATTTACGATAGAATTGCATCATCTTTCCAAATGTAGTACCTAATAGCTATCTTGTGAAGGAAAGAATGCAATTCAAAGGGTAATCAGTTTCTACTCGGCCATTTTCTATTCCTAAGCTTCTTTTACTTTGATTTTTACAGTCTTCAATCAGTGAATTCATTGCCAAGATTGGACAAGAATGATTGGCTATCGCCTAACAACCACTAAAGCATGTCGTGGTACTTACCAGTCAATCAGTGGAGTGACTTTAGTCCGCGACAATCTCCTGCGGGTGACGGGTCTGATTGTTAGCCCCTTGAGTGGGATAATGTTATCTAAGACTATCACTTACCGCAACTTCACAGTATATCTGACGTAACTATCATACAGGATTACTACAGTTTATGGTGAATGGTTATCAGCACGTTGTTAGTTGAACAGTTCACTTCACTTTACATCGATGTCTGAAGATTGAAGCTCAGCAAATTCTTCAAGGCTTCTGCCGCACTGCATTAACTCAATGTTGTTTGAACACTCAATTGTGACGTCATTGCTAGCCTATAATATTCAGCATTCCTGTACAATGTATGTACGGTGTAGAGTAAAACCAACCAACAGCAACTAAATAAATAAATTACTAGTTAAATTGACTTTCAAGATTCAAGACCGTTCTTCATCAAAGGATTCTTTCACCTAAACTACATACAATATGGATGATGTAGACTACGCTCTTTGATCACTTATAAGGACGTGTAGTTAGTGTTCTACTTTGCAATTTGTAAATAGCAATGGCTATTACGTTGGAGATTACTGAAAATGTCGCCATTCATCATTAAAATAGGTGTATCCTTACAATAATAGACTAAAAGTCCGAACCGTAGCGTAATGTCATGTCTGATAATTATAATTATATTACATAAGGTATAAGTTATAATAATCATAGACTACAAATTATCAACATGTTATGTTATCAAAATGTTTATCTGTGTCGTGTCTAGCAATGGAGTCAACTTCAATATCTGTAGAGTACGACGCTACTAAGTTACAAAACGATCCGTTACTATTACAGCTAGAATCTTATAAAAAGGAAAGTCTTAAGACCTCTTCGGTACTGCTTCACACGACCATTCAATAACTCTGCTAATGTATGTACACTACAAGCTTCAATAAAGTCAATGAACTAGTAGCAAAGCGCGAGTTGCATGTTATGAAAAGTATCTCTAGCCAACCTCAAGATCCACCACAGAAAAGACGCATTTTGAGTTCAGATTGCTTATGCAAACATCGTGGCATAAATGGCGCAATAAACTGTCAGCCTTTTCACGTTCACTGCCTCAGGCAGGTAGTATGAGCATGTCATGTTGTGGACAGGCAATAACGTATATGCTTGTTTTTACTGTACTGGATAATGTATGACTGACTCACAATTTTCCTGACAGAGGATATAACTTTATCTGAGTAGAATGCCACGAGTATAATGATATACTCGTATTTTATCTGCATGGACGCTTACTACATTACGTATTTTTATATTTATTGGGTGTACAGTATGTGTGGGGGTGGGGTAAGTAGCCTCCGTTACTTTGCTGCCATTCTTGGTATATATCGTTTCAGCTGTCTTAAGTCAAATGTGCATCGATTGGAATTGGAACGATACAAAAAGGTGCAGCAATAGTTTAAAGCTGTTCGAACCACTGCAGTCAAATGGATATTCTCCGTAGAAGTATCAGCAAATGAATATTGTAATGACAACAAGTCTTCCCAAGTTTTCAATGAATGGCTGGGTGTCGGAAAATGTAGAATTAATGAATTCTATTACCGGTAGGAAATTTTTCAGAATACTGTACACTGTACAGCACCGGTCCCGATCGTACCTAGCGGTCACATTGGGAGGTGTTGGCAGCAGTAGTGTATGTTTTAATCATTTGCAAATTTAAGCACCTCAAAAGTACGTTAGAAGAGTTAGTAAGATTTAAGTTTAGATTCATGAGCAAAATGATAATGCAACTTCCAATTTTTGGAAGTCGTGCACATTCTATTTACTGTATAACATATTATATACAGCAGATTTCCGACTCAAGACGATGTAAAATCGCAGGTGTATCATTCTAGCATAGAGAATAGTACAGCTTACGGTATCGTTACAGCGTGCACGTCATACAAATAATGACGCAATCCCTAGCTGTTATTATTATTTTATTATTCTGTTCCGTTACAGACCGGTATTTCGACGTGACTTGTAAAATGATTGGAGTGACGTTACATGTAACCACGACTGATCGTTTGTATTAGAAACTTGAAAGAAATACAATGAATTGTTCAATACTGCAATCAAAAATATTCTAAATATCGAGAGCCAATTGCTCAAGGTTGCACTAATCTATCTGCATGGAATTGAAGCCAAATTTACAGCACATTTCTTCTAAGTTGAAAGACAGAACTGGCAACACTCTAGCTCAACATCTCTCTTTTCAACCATTTCCGAAGGTTCGTCACGTCCCTGTCATAGTAGTCTAGTTTTTGTACTGATCCGGTACGGTACCAGGTGGAATGGGTACTATGATTTGTAAAGTAGTATCAGTACAGTACAGTACCGTACTGCACGTCGTACAAACGTCCAAGTGACGCATGAGTAACGTTCTAAATAAGACCTGTCAAAGCGTGGTCTATCTTTGCCCTTCACCCCAGTCAGTCTGTCACCGGTTGCCTGCAGGACCTTGAATGTAAGAATTAAAATCTTCCTTGGAAAATGTTTCCTTTGAAATATTACTTTATCCGTTATCCTTTGGCTTAATGATAGCTAAGACTATTCTATAATTAAGCTATCCCTTTTATATTGCTTTCCTTATATAGTACATAGCTTAAAATTTACTTACCACAGTAAATTGACCGCGGCTCACTATTGGAGTTTGCTAATCCATTCATTAATGAACCATCGTAGCAGGACTAGACCGGCTATCGGCCTACCAATAATTTTCTCATTTAAATCTTTCAGTGATTGCAATTACTTTACTCAAGGTATAATCGTTTTATTGTGGCTCAATTTATTTTAACTATCGTATGTACTATCGCCATTTAGACCTGCAATACTGGAAATGCCTCGGTTAAGAAGTTACGTAACTTACCATTAAGGTGCTTGGCAATCATTCATCGATTACTCTCGTATACTGTATGTAAATTTACTGCTCATCAGAAGTACCCGCTAGCTGAAATACAGTGCGATCGATAGGCTACTATCCATTTCTAGGCCACTATAAGACTAGAAGAGCAATTTGAGTTATTCTATGGCGCATCATACTAAAGACAACGAGAATGACCATTCTTCAACACCAAAGAAGCAGTAAGTTATATAACAGGAAATCTATAATAAGTGTCCAGAATTACTGTCGTATAGGTCATGCAGGAGTAGACTGATGGGATACACTATAAGTATGGTAGCTGCGACATACAGTAGAACGGATTATTCTTACCGGTTTTGTTATTTTTGATATTAACTAATAACAATAAAGCTCACTAGCTATGCAAGAGCAAAAGTTACATTTCATTAATTCAGCTATATGTGTATTGCATTTCTTAATTCTACAGTATAACATATACGAATACACGTCATAAGTGAATCAATTCTCGTAATGTCTACAGTAAGTTGTTAATTAACTGTACTATACTGTACAGTACTATTAATTGGAGTTGTGCAGGAAGTCAAAGTAGGAACAATAATAAAAACAGCTTGATCCCTGACCTACTGAGTTATCACAAAGACTATTATAGCTGATACTTTTAACTCTCTATTGCATGTGAATTATTTTCCATGCTTGTGCCAAACGAGAGATTTTACCGTGCTGTAGATAACCCCTACAATGTACTCCACTATACGCGTAAATTCGATGTGAATTGCTGCTGGAGTAGGCATCTATTGCAATATGGTGTACTCGCTACAATTTTAGTTTTAGACATCATTACAATATTAAAATGAAAATTCAAACGATGATTAAAATCATATTTCACCCAGATTTTCACACAAATCCATGTTTCTCACTTTATCGACCGGTAATCAATGCCAATACTGTACTGTACACTAGCAAAGACAACTAAAACTGTTACTGTAATCGTTTCAGCATCTTAATTAAAAAGTCCATGTTTCAATGTCAATACTGTATACTAGCAAAGACAACTAAAACAGTTACTGTAATCATTTCATAATCTTAAACATGGACTTTTTAATTATGGATCTATTACTGGTAATTATATCCTTAATTATTAGGATAAATGCTAGTACAGTTAAATCGTTTAAAGTTTAATTACAGGTGAATCGTAGCAATATTGCAAAACTTTTGATTACCAGATATAAAACACTTGATGCTATTTTTACAATCATGAACTTGCTGTGCTGTATAGATCTACAGTAGACTACCTTATCAAGGCATGATCTGTGAACTAACTATCACCATCAATATTCATTGTTTGTCAACCGTTAGTTTATATTAATTAAATATATATAATCGATGCCTAAAACACTTTAGTTGTAACAATTAATGTTATATGACATTAATTTAGTTAATAATGCAGCAAATTGAAACAAGGTACAACCCTATTTGGCTATGGCCATCACAACATATTGAAATACGAAAGTACTTCTGTGCACGTTTACTGTAATAGAAAAAAACTTACTGATTCAGCTATATGCAAATACAGACAACATACCGTAGTATTTGCAGAAGGACTGCATGAAAACAGTACTATAACTTGAACTAAGTTGATCTTTTTAATAAATAAATCATATAATATTTTAGCAAATCGATGAATATACCTATTGATAGTACGTAACTTTTACTATCTATTTTTAATTTGTAGCAGCGATAGTTACATTCCATACGAATCGACCAACTTTCTGTCTTTGATGTGCTTTTGGTGGATGACTCCTTTAGTTACTATAGGAAGAAAAAGACCATTAACTTTTAACGATATATGGAAAATTCCTGAACGCGACTCATACAAATACAATACCGATATCTTTGAAAGATTATGGAAGGAAGAAATAAAATTACGGGGTGAACGTAAGGCTTCCATAGGACGTGTTATAATCAAAGCATTAATGAAGAAATTATTGGTATCGGTGGCCGTATATGCAATTGTTATTGGTTGTTCTATTAGTAGTGCTGTAAGTGATCGTAACGATTATACATTCTTTATGACGTTTCAAAATCATACAATAGCTTCTAAATTTATGACCTTACAAGCATATATGCTTAGTGCCCATTTACAATATAAAGTAGACTTATTTTCATCCAACACACGTTATATTTCATACCATCCGCTATTAAAATTAATTATCAATACTGTTATGCTATAGCCCTGTAAAATATACATAGGCTAGTATATTGTAACACTGTGGAATTTGTACTGTAAATTAGCGAATTTACTCCAATATAATATGATGTAAATACTAATATTAATCACGATTCAATGCTAGTAATTCACATTATTTGCAATAATATACTAAAATTTATACTCAACGTAGCAATCTTCATTATAACCATACGAGTATTACCATACACATAGAAAAATTTTAGACTGATAGCTTTGATAAATATTTGTAAGTAACCGAATGTGTATACGCGTATTATATTAGAAAAAACTTTCTTAAAGCAACTATTCTTTATATTGTAACTATAATTAGATGTGTAAGTAGAAACTTTATCTAATTAAAGTACTATCTCATAGAGAGTATTAAGAACGATAATTTCTTTTAACTCATGAACCATTACGATTTCATTACCACTTTAGTTAATTATGCGACTGATTGTCGAATATTCAACCTCCACCGACCTTCCTGTAGAGAGAGGTGTTATCTTGGTAAGCTATAAAAGTGAATAGTAATATCATCATATCACTTTTCGAAGACTTATAGATACGAACGATAATCGTATAACAGCAGTAATATTCTTATATTTCGGTAATCGGTAGTATGTTACTCTTTAATACTACTATTAATAGTTATTGGGATTCTATGACAGAATATTACCAAAGTTACGCCAGAAAATATTTGTTACTTGAGTTGGCCTCGCCTTATTTAACCTTAGAAATTTGTATTTTAGGTTTGTAGTATGCTGATCAGCGAAATTGTATTCACTTTTTTCTTCGCACTTGCCTGGTATGTGTCGTTAAGAACTGCTATAAAAGCTAGATCGATGATTTTTGGTCTCGTATTCAATAAAGTTATATCTCTAAAGAATACTGGCGGTGGGTCTGTCGGAAAGGTAAGCAATTGTAATACATACTTTGTATTCTACAAAGTGTTTAGAGTACTAAGAGAAGATATAATGTAGTACCGTTATTATAACCTTGGTCGTACTGTAGCTTTATATAAAATTGTGTAATAATGATACATAACTAAAGTAAAAACGTCATGTTAATTATTCGTTATTATCCATGTAATACCAATTGTAAAGCTTATCAACCTTTGCGCAAATGATGCTCAACGCGTATATGAAGCTGTTTTATTACTTGGTTTTTGTTTAGGTAGGAGTGATTTGTTTTAGTAATTAATAGTATAGTCATAGACAAAATTTAAAATTATTAAACATATTAGTAATAAGGTGTATGCAGTAAGTATTTACGCATATGTATGGAGCTACACTATAAATTAAATCTATCGTAATGCAAAGCTAGGTAAGGAATTACGGAACACTCACTTGTAATATTTACAAACTTTCCATGTTATAATTAAATTTTCATTCAGGCGCGCCAGTGGCAATAATTGGAGTTATAACTGCATTAGTGTTCACAATTGGACCTGTCGCGTTGGTATCTCTGATAGTCATTTTTTTCTATTATGGGTCTATGGTAGGAAACTAGGAATAATAACAATTAATTAATCATAAATATTTTCTAAGATTGTCGCTTAGGTTATAGTTTTAGTACAAGATATTTATCACGATTTTACTAATACGCATGATAGCATTCTTAAAGCAGCAATACTTTAAATAATCACGGTTCCGTACATCATAATAATACTACAATGTAATATATACCTTAGATTGCCGTTGGGAAGGTTATTAAAAAACTTCGCAGAAAATCTATCGTAATTACAGACCAAAGGGTAAGAGGAACTGGGTTGCTGTAATGTTCAGTTTTTGACTATACTATAGAATTAATAATTAATTATAATGAAACTCTATAACTTTTGATCATAATTACTGCTCATGGTTTCTCTAAAACAGATTCGTGAAATGAACGAAGTCTTAAAATGCATTAGACTAATTAAGCTATATGCTTGGGAGGAATCTTTCGAGACGATACTCAAAGGCAAGTACTTTAAAAGTTTCTTAGTAAGCCGACACTTCGTAAATTCACTAATTTTGTACTCTAATAAATATTAGAGCTCCGTCAAAGTGAAAGAAGTCGCCTTGAGAAAGTTGCGTACATACAAAGTTTTAATATCTCATTTATCATGATCATACCAGCTCTCGCATCAGTACTTACCTTAACAACTGGTTTTTTACTTGGAGTTCCTATAACGTCCGCTCAGGTATGTATTTATCTCAATGGAATAGGAAGAAGTAAATTTTATACCTTACAGTATTTAATGCAATAATTGAATAAACACATGAAATTATTACTAAACAACTTGTATATATACACGATGGATAGGCATTTACATCTATTGCGCTATTAAACGCATTACGTCAAACTATAAATATGTTTCCTCAAATGATCAGACAGTCGGTAGAAGCTGTCGTTGCATTTAAAAGAATAAAGGTACGATACGAAACGATTTGTGCTACAATGAAAGATTTATTGAACGCAAACTTAAAATTGTAATACTATAAATGATAAATAAATTTCAGCAATTACTAGCGATGGAAGAATTTAAAGATAATAACGAAGTACTATCAGATAACGACAATGCGATAATTATTAAGAATGGACTATTCAAGTGGAACACAAGTGTAATGTTTAAATTACATTAATTTAAGCCGATAAAAAATTTGATTACAAGAATAATTTTCAATTTTCTTATATAACATTTAATATGGACACTGTTGTAATTAAAATGTCACAATGTTAATCAGCTAATTCTTTTATCAGAACAAAAAGGATGACAATTCCAACAATGATGCTTGTAAGCCTATTCATTATGCTAACATTAAAGAGATATTATCGAACTTAAAAAATTTTACTTATTAGAATCCACATACAGTAATAATGGATCTTTTATAGCTGTAGGTGTTCAAGAGTTCTATTTAAAAGACATCAAGTTTCAGCTAAAGAAGGTATTATAAATGTTAACATCGCTACTGAAAGCAGAACTATACATTATGGGCTTGACAAAGCATTTGATATAATATATATATACGCGTATAAATTAAAAATATGTGTAATTACAGGGAGAAATATCGGGAATCTGCGGCCGCATTGGAAGCGGAAAATCTTCCTTAATTTCTGCCATCTTAGGCGAAGTAATAACGCAATCAAAATTTAACAATATGTACAAAATTTAAGTTTAGCGCTTTATATTAATTATTTTGTGTTTATAGATGAATACAGTTTCCGGAAGTATTGCTGTTGGTGGATCAATAGGATTAGTGACTCAACAGGTAAATAATCTAAATTATAGATTTAGTAATTTCCGTTGAGATATGAGTTTAAGCGATTTTGTATTAGCCTTAGAATTTACAAAATCAGATTTAAGATTCAGCTAATATATATATGAACATCTACAACGTTAGAAATATATGCAAAGTGTATAAAGCGTCATTAAAATTAGCAATAGTTTACAAGAAATAACCCATTTTTTTGGGTATAGCCATGGATCTTCAATGGAACTTTACGAGATAATATAACTTTTGGATATCCTTTTAACGCCGCCAGGTAATAATATCACTAATCTATCTGAATTTTCGTATCAGTAAACAAGTAAAATAACTATTATAACTGCTAGATAAATATTTAGTAACACAGCTTGCGGACATAATACGAGCTCTTCTCAGTATTCTTTTTGCTATGTACCAGATATGAGCGTGTTATAGAGTGTTGCTCACTACAAGAAGACTTAATAGCTCTACCAAATGGAGACGAGACCTCGGTTTGTGAATTACTAATTTAGCAATAAAACTTGTGAAATAGTAAATTTCGATATTAAGTAAATATGATTTTATACTATACTGCAGATTGGAGATAGAGGAGTAAATTTGAGCGGCGGTCAGAAACAACGAGTCAGTCTAGCACGAACGGTATATGCCGACAGGGATGTGTATCTATTTGATGATCCACTAAGTGCTGTGGACACAGATGTTGGTAAACACATTTTCGAGAGATGTTTCAACGAATTACTGAAAGAAAAATCTATTTTATTCGTCACTCATCAGTTACAGGTCAGCCTATAGCACATTATCTTTTTGTAACTGTGATTCAACTTTTAACGTTGTAAGTATTAATTATTCGTTGGCTGTCACAGTATCTTCGCGACTGCGACTGTGTAACGTTAATGAAAGATGGTCAAATTATCGGCAGTGGTAGTCACAGCGAATTATTAAATAGCAATAAGGTGCGCTACCAGCTTTTAAAGCAGTTATATCTATACAATACGCCTAATATTAACAACATTACAGTCTTCAGCTAAATTCTAGCGTTCACCTTTTGCTAAAGGTATACGCCGATCTGATTAGTGATTTATGTAACAAGAAAGAAGATGAAATCGAAGATAAAAAAGCAACCCTTATAGATTCGTCCAACGGGATAATTCAAACAAGTGCAGGTTATATCATATCACAATTCAAAGTATATTAACACTTTTTACAACTATATTCAGTTACGTCACTAGCTACTATTACTAACGGGTATACATAACGTATTGGATGTATATTTTTTACTAGTAGAGAAAAATAGAGAAACTAAAGAATCCGGAGAAATTACCTGGAGGACGTACAAGAGTTACATTAACTTTGCTGGAGGTACTAATATAACACCTATACAGTATACTCGTATCGTATGATTATAATATGGGCTAAATTATAAGCTTAGTCATAATAAATTTATCTAATCACTACCTTCTCTATCGTCTTTCATAATCTATAACTTTTGTGTAACTGCATCATATTTATCAGGAAATCTAGTTATGGTTCTGGTGTTAATGGTTTACGGCATTACTGTATCAGTTCGAGTATTTACCGATTGGTGGCTTTCACAATGGCTGAGTGGCGATATCAGTGTAATTAAAATATATCTCACCCGTATTCTCGTATATTTGTTAGATTAACTGCTAATATCACCGGAGATAACATGTATAGTATACGAATATATTGCGTTTAGTTAAGTTACTCAGTAATATTCATTAATCAATTATAACATGCCATTACGATCTAGCGTCCAAACATGAATTCAACTAATAACAGTTCCGATTTCTTACCTGGACCTACAACTTCAACACACAGCAACACAAGCTTTTCATCTAGACCTGCAAATCAATTACCATTTTATACTAACTTAGCAATTTATGTATCGTCCGCAATAATCATGATATTACTTCAAGGTGTTAGAGCAATTGCATTCTCAAAGGTAAAAGTGTTAAATAGTAATAATATTATAATCGATCATATCAACAATAGCTTAATACGTATAATATGTCAATAAAGATATTAACATAACGTAATACTTTACACGTACAAGTTTAGTACTGTAAAGCTTATGTCCTATGTTTACTACGCCTAATATTTCTCATAATATCATGTTAATAAATAAGGTGACTTTACGAGCATCTTCAAAATTATGTACCAAGGCGTTGCATAAGGTTAGATACGGTTTGATTATATTTATAGGTATTCTATGTAATAGTTGTTTTATTAAGTATCCGTTTATAATTTATATTAATTATTAGATTCTGAGATGCCCTTTGAGTTTTTTCGATTACACACCGTCTGGTAGAATACTTAATCGATTTTCTCGTGATATGGATGAAAGTAAATAGTTAAATTCGTACTACAGTATTAATATACGAGTTTAATATACGATTCAATTAATTATCTTAACTCGTTCTATTTTCGTTTTATCTAGTTGACATTCAGCTTCCGTTGTTTGCTGACCGATCTCTTTTATTAGTACTTACGTTACTCGGGTCCATAATAGTAGTGTTAGCTTCGTATCCTTGGGTAGCGATCGCTATTGTTCCTTTAGTTTTAGGAATCTCGATGTTAGCTTACGTTTTTGGTAAAACATTGAGAGAAGTAAAAAGACTAGAGAGTATTAGTAGATCGCCCGTTATGACACATCTAACTGCAACTATGGAAGGTAAAATTACTTATATATAACGTATTTATTTCCCAAAATACCGATTACTATTGTACGACTTTCCATATAACGAATTATGGATTTACGTTTAAATTGATATATACTACATGTTAGGTCTGTCAGTGATACATGCTCATGGCAAATCAGCTGAATACCTTACAAAGTTAGTAAATCTGCTAGCTATTCGTAATACGACATCATATTTTTATAATCGATTTCCGTATATTTATTAAAGACTCATTATTTTACTGCATGTTTTTACAGGTTTCGAAGACTTCTTGATAGAAATTCATCGTGTACTATGATATTCATGGCTTTAAATCGCTGGTTTGCAATAAGGGTAGATTGGTTTATCACAGTCCTTGTTGCTATTGGCGCTATGACAGTAGTAATAGAACGAGGACTTGCTTCTTCTGCGTATTCTGGCCTTGCTTTAGTCTATATCATGCAGGTATTTAACAGTTTTACGCGTATATCCTTTACAGACTATAATTAATAATAAGTTAATTCACTCTTGTAATATTAATTACTTGACATATTTATGATAGACTAAAGGCATACTGCAATTCGCTGTAAGAAATATCTTGGAGACTAACTCCAGATTTACTTGCGTTGAACGACTTAACGAATATTGTGAGGTAAGTAATACGTCGTTAATGTTTTTGATTACTAATGATAAGAACTGAAGCTAACCATAAGTACATAGGACTTACCTACAGAAAATTCGGATGTTAAGAAGACAGATGTAATAACTGACGATAACTGGATAAAAAATGGCGAAGTCGAATTTAGAGAAGTTAAAGTAATCACTACAAGAGCTTTATAACTTATATCATTTTATTTCTACGTTCTTGTACAAAATACCATTATTACATGTTCTATTTAGTGTATTATATAATATATAAAGCATTATTATTATAATTTCATGGTGTGATCCTAATCTCATCGCCATTACACGAATAAATTTCGACTTTATAGATGCGATATCGCCCTCATTTACCTACAGTACTAGATGGTATACAGTTTAAGATTAATGCTGGGGAAAGAATCGGAATCGTAGGAAGAACTGGAAGTGGTATTTTATACCGAATAATCGTTTTAAAGATACATTAACTTATTGCATGCAATATTAATATAAGTATTAGTAACTTCAAATTTTTAAGTTGTTACATATAACTGACGTTATTATCTTACAATTATAAGGAAAAACTTCTATTGGCGCATGTCTGTTCCGACTCGTCGAAATTTATAGTGGCTCAATATTAATTGATGGACATAACATAAGCCATATAGGTAAGTATTACATTATGTCCTGTCGTAATAATTACAAGCATACAAATACGACGTGCAACGGGAAATAAACTAGATCAAAAGCTACTACTTATATCGAATTTTTTAATTAGATCTTTATAGTTTACGTCGCAATATGTCAATGATACCACAAGATCCCTTCATTTTTGAGGGTACAATCAGGTATTTAAGATGTTACAAATCTACTATAATAGAAATTATTTCTGTCTTGAAATTATCCACTCCAGATACGTTAGTAACGAAATAATCATACATGATTGTAGAACTAATTTAGATCCACTCAATCATTATAACGATCGCGAATTATGGCGTGTGTTAGAAAAAGTACAGTTAAAAGAGAAGGTAATTTATTATTAATAAGTAAATGTTAAATGTATTGTATGTCGCCATTCAGCATAAA